TTTTCATGGTTTTAATGAACAATTGAAATGCCGTGGTTTTAATGATGAAACAAAGCACCACGACTTTACAGAAATATTGACTTAAACAACAGATGTCTCTCAATTTATAACATGTCAATTATACCGTTCTCGTTTTCACCCATTCATATGATTTATTTCAAGAGGATAAGTAGGTAGTAATATCAAGGGGAGTTGGTTTTCAAATTTCTCAATAGTTTTTTCTATCAACTAATTTTTCGATGGCAGCTACATGAATTTGGACACATTAATTGGGAACATTCTTTATAATGGTTTCAAAGCATGAAATCTTTAAAATCTGCACATGTAATACATACAAAAAGACACTATAAACGATTCATTACATATGCCCTACTATTAAAATTTATTAATAAAGATACAGAGCGAAAATGACGGAAAACAACACCAACAAATAGCAAAAACGACAATAATGTACATATGATACACAATGACAACCTATGAGACTTATCATTACGTTTGTTTTGGGCAATGTCCTCGCCTAAATTACGTATTCTCTTTGCTTTTCCTATCCTACATTCTTTAAGACGTTTATTACCTCTAGGAAGCAGACTTTCCAGCAACAGCAGTTGCATACATACGTTTTGGCACCCATGCCTGAGGAGTATTTCTTCGCGCGGTATGAAGAAAATGCCCCCATTGCCCCACACTTCTTATTCTTATTCGGCATGTCTCAGTCTCTCTCAGTATCCTTCAGTCTCTCTCAATCTCTCTCCGTTTTTCTCCGTCTCTGTCCTCTCTCCGTCCCTTTCCGTTTGTGTGTCACTCTCTCAGTCTGTCTTTGTCTCTGCCCCTCACTCACCTTTTCTGTTCGACCCTCTGCGTTTCTCTCCGTTTCCCTTCATCCCCCTCCGCCTCTCTTCGTCTCCGCCCCTCTCCGTCACCTTCTGTCATTCTCCGTTTCTCTCTATCTCTCTCAGACTCTACCTGTCTCTCTCAGTTTCTCTTCATCTCTCCGGCTGTCTCAGTCCCCCTAAGTTTCACTCCGTCTCTTTCCGTCTCTCTCCGTCTCGCCGTTTCTCTCTGTCCTTCTCCGTCTGTCTACATTTCTCTGCGTCTCTCTCAGACTCTCTCCCCTTTCCGTCTCTTCGTCTCTCTCCCTCTCTTTCTGTCTGTCTCTCTTCGTCTTTCTCCGTCTCTTTCCATTTCTTTCCGTCTCTTTCTTTCACGCTCCTCTCTCGGTCTCTGACATTTTCAGTCCTTTCCCTGCTCTCTCTGTCCCTCTCCGTCTCCGTGGGTGACTCTCAGTCTCACTGCACATCGCTCCGTTTCTCTCCGTTCCTCACCGCCACACTTTGCTTCTTTTTGTCCCTCTCCGTCTTCCGTCTCTCGCCGTCTTTCTCCATCTCTTTCAGTCCCTCTGTCTCTCACCTGTCACTTCGTTTCTCTCCGCTTCTCTCAGTCTCTCTCCCTTGCTCTCTGCTCTCTCCGTCTCTCTGTCACTTTTTTCCCTCTCAGTATTTCCCCTCTCTAAGTCTGTCTCCATATCTCTCAGTGCCTCTCAGACTATCACACTCTCTTAGTTTCTCTCTGTCTCTTTCCGAATCTCTCAGTCCCTCTAAATTTCTCTCAGACTCTCTCCGTCTCTCCTCGTCTCTTTTCGTCACTTCCCGTCTCATTCCACCTCTCTCCGTGTCTTTTCGTGTCCTTCAAGATTTCATAATCTCTCTCCTCCTCTCTTCGACTCATTTTATCTCTCATCCACTCTCTGTCTTAGACTCTTTCCATTTCTCTCCGTCATTTTCCGCCTTTCTCCGACACTCTCCGTCTGTTTCCATCTCGACTCTCACCGTGTCTCTTCGCCTGTTTCTTTTCGCATCTTTGTCTCCCACTCCGTCCTCCGCTTTTCTTCGTCTCTCTCCGACTCTTTCCGATTCTCTCCGCCGCTCTCTGTCCCTCTACATTACTCTCCGTTTCTCTTCGTCTCTATCAGTAACTCTCCATCTCTTTCAGTCTCCATCTATTTCCGTTTCTCTGCGTTTCTCTCCGTCTCGCTTTTTCTCTCTTCTCCTCTCACTGTCTCCATCTGTCTCACTTTTTCTTAGTCTCTTTCCGTCTCTATTCGTCTTTATCCACTTCTTTTTGTCTCTCCCTGCCTCCCTTCTCTCTCGGTCTCTCTTCTTCTCTCTCTCTCTCTCTCTCTCTCTCTCTCTCTCTCTCTCTCTCTCTCTGTGACTCGCCTTTTCTTTCCGTGTCTCTGAAATGTCTGAAGATAGACTCTTCTCTATCGGGAGTTATCCCGTAGAAATCTTTGGCTGCCGTCGAAGTTTGGCGTGGAAGGTAAATTGTTGACGACTTCTGGCCGAGCAGGCCTGGAGCCCAGCCCTGGTTGAGCGATTACGAGGCGGATTGTTACAGTAAAATAAAAGGCGGTCATTTGCCTAATATTCTCTTTCGTTTTCGTAAGCGAGAAAGGCTGAACGTGAATGGGGCCCACGGGAATATCGTGCAACGAGAACGCATTCTCGGGAGCGAGGAGACTCGATAATCTCGTTGCCAGAGGCCGTGAGAAGGAGGACCCCGCCAAAGGTCTTCCGCAAATATCAACAAGAGCGCATTCGTTGACCTTGGACCTTGCGTCCCTGCGCAACGCATGGCGACACGTGATACGGCGTTGAAAATTTATCGAATTTCTCGGTATAGATTTTGTCCTTTCTAGTAGTGATGAAGAATGGAGAAACGTGTCTTCTTATCCATAAGGGAGTCTTCCCACGAATCCCAAACTTCCTTCGTGCATGACTTTGTGTTTATTACAAAATAAGATTTTTTGCTTAAATTTCACCCCATCGCGAAAATAATAGCACAATTTCCTTATCCGTACCGTATTTTGAACTAAAACTATTAAAAATTGACATTGAACGCTAATAGAAACATTAACTATTAATTTACAATGTTTGTTTACTAGTATTATGATTCTCTGTATAATTTTTTTGTGTATATTTTCAGTATCTTAATCTCTGAGACAATCAGTGAAAAAAAATACGTATATTTCCATTTGAAAAAATTAAGTTACCCAATAACTCGTAATATGCAAGTAATTAAATAAAAACGAATTTTTGTATGAATTAGCCCCATTCCCTCATGTAATTCCGTGAAAATTTCAATGCAATAGCTTCAACAGTTCAAAAACTGCAGAAGGTGCTAAAGTCTCATGACACAATCTGTATAATCAATTGTGTAAGAAGCTGTACCTTGTCGCTCATGACCTTTAAGAAGTAATTTTGGGGACATATTACCTTACAATGTTGTTTTCTGATGGTGTTTTCATAAATCATTATTCCTACATGTTATATACGTTTTACATATTATTAGACTTTTTTGTGAACTTTTCGGTTTTTTGCCTCCCATGCACAGTGTCTCGCAGCTCCCTCACAGATTATTTGCGTCGCTCCCCTCCTGCGATTTTCTTGGCGCCAAGTTCCCTCTCCTCAACCACCCCTCCCCGTCCGTCTACCCCTCCGCCGATGCCGAGGCGTGTCGGGCTTGCAATCGGCGGTGAGGAGCAGGTGAGGAGAGGCAGGTGCCATGGTTCTCCGCTTGCTTTGTTCGGAATGATTCGGGCCAAGTCGGAATCGTGGCGGTTGGTAAAACAGTGGGCAAGCAGCAGCGTCTTCACTTCATCCCGTCCTATCCCGTCTCTGAGATCGCTTCCAGGGTAAGTTGGCCTGCAGGCGAAGTTAACTGCGATATGATTTGTTGTGGGAGATGTCAATCCCAGTGGATAAAATTGTGTCTTTGAATACCTTAATACTATTTCGAAATTAAATAATTTCGTAATACCTTAATACTATTTCGAAATTAAATAATTTCGTGAAATACTTCGTGTGATTTGTTATGCTCATCGCGAAAGTTTTATTTGAGCATCCAAGATGCTACGTAGATGACAATCTTCAATATCAAATTGCTTTACAGTAAATGCCTAGTGGTTCTTTGTTTAATAGTTTCTGGGATTTGAAAACGACGCTAGTAAGTTGGTCTTCGTGACTTTCAGAATCAGGCGTGTTCCTATTAATTCTCCTCTCGCCTTTAAATTTGTCGATTTGTGCTCGTAAACGAACTGACAAGACATTGTATTAGTTATTTACGATATACTAAGCATCTAATTACAATACGTGATTGTAAAATTTCCAAATGAGCCCATTAGGCCATGTTTAGTAACAATTTAAGTATTATAGTCGGATGTTACGACACGAATATGGTACAACGTTTTATCCTTTTTGTAAAATTTTGTTAATTTAACGTGAAATTTTGCCTTACGCCTTCCATTAGAATTCATAATTTTTCTCCTAGAAGTGGCGACACTGCTCTCAAGAAGAATAATTGACACACACTTGGCCCACACGTTTCACATGAGTGAATATACAGTGCGTGTAAAAAGTATTCGTTCACCAGTGCACTTAAACAATAATTGTAATTATGCAATAATTAATTTATAATCGATAGGTATTTCCATCATTGCATTACCCTATGTGTACGGAATAGTTAATACCAAAAACAGCAGAAAAACACATGTACAAAGCAGATAACTGTTCAAACTTCCTGAAATGTGAAATATCGGGACCCCAACAGTATTCTTACAGCGAGGACAACTGTAACGGTTGTAGGTTCTTTACGCCTGACCCGTGGGAAATTTGTGACTCTAGAAAATGTCTATGGCAGTGGCCTTGTATAGTGTTTGACAGATGCCTGACAGGCGTGTGTTTTTTATGAAAAGAAGAAATGGGTCGTAAAGAGAAGGATCGTCTTTGAATGAGAGAAAATTTATGAAGTTGCATAATCAATGCAAATCGTTGCGGGAAATGTCTCAAATTTTAATCACACCAAGGAATACCATTCTGGGAGTCATTGATAGGTGTAGTGTAAGGAAAACATTGAAAAACGTGAGTAAACGTTGTCTGCCCAAGAAACGTAGTGGAGCAAATAGTCGTAATATTCTACGGAAAGTGAAGAAAAAGAAACTGTTAAAAGCACCAAAAATAACCAGTGAACTTGAGAATGAATTTGCAGATAATTGTATACGAGAGTACTGACCGAAAGTTTTTGAAGTAAATTTGCTATCATGGATGAGTAGCAAGAATAAAATGTTAAGCGAATGAAGACAATAGAAGGAAAATGTTAGTGGTCGCAAAAAGGGTAAATAAGAGTTTGGAAAAATATTATTTACAAGTGTTAACATTTTAGTGAGTTTTTGAAAAATGTTACGTTTTTCAGTCGGTAAACTTAATCAAATATAGGAAGTTAACTGGCCGACATATTTTGATATTCTAAATATAATAATGTATCTGTAAAAAGTTTGAAAAAATGGTGTATTAATCATGTAATGTAATCCACTCTGTTAAATTAGTTAGTTTGAGGCAGACAATAATCTTAATATGGAAAAAGATATTTCTTAACATGAAAATTTATATTTCTAGATGATGTGTACATTTGTTACAACCAGCATTCTTGAGAAGTTGAAAATTGACTGTTTGCCGCCAAAAGTTATATGTATCGGAAAAAACTGTTTTGAAAATTTCTTCTAATGACGAGTCGATTTAAGTTTTTTCAAGAATGTGAAAAATAGACCATACCAGTTAATGCAAATATGTTGGGCAGTAACAATGTATAAACGTGAACCGCTGGGCCTGGCCACCCTAACGTATCACCTGATACGAGTGATAAAGAAATAGACCGAGAAAGTTCTATTTCTTCTGCTGTCTTTGGTTTCGCCCATCGTTTGCAGTCTGCTGTTCTCTTCATGAGACAAAAAGACAAAAACAAAATTTGACGTTGAGTTTTCATTGTCCAGTGTGATTAAACAAATTTTTTAGAAAATTATTGTCATACTTGATTTAATTCAGAGAATGTTGTCTGTCATACTTGATTTAATTCAGAGAATGCTGTGAATTAATGTCTTGGCTAAAATTCGGGCGAGCTAAAATTCACTGCACCCAGAACGCAGTTCCCCCGCCATCAGTTAGCGTAACGGTGTCGTCATTGCTCGGTGTTTGCTATGCCAAGACTAGCAGCGACGTCACTCTTTACAAGTGTGTCATGCGACCCACCGTAGTTGCTTGTCATTGTAATTCAGTGTTGCAAGCACCCGCGTCGTGCGACTGTTTTTCAGAGGTTTTTGAAGCTGGAGGAGGGAATTCAAATCGAAATATTTAAGTTTATCCTGGAACGCCCTTTTGAATGTAGTAAACAAAAGACCATACCTGAAATCAAATAATTTGATTCTTCCTTCTAATGTTTAAAGACTACTTACTCTCAGTATACTCTTGAACGGAAGTATTATAATAATATCAGAAATGACGAACAGGCATTGGTTAGATTGTTTTGGGATTAGACTCGGCATTTCTATAAGAGTATTTCTACAAAGAGTGTAATTGCAGTATAATAATAGTAATAATATTTTGCAATAATAGTCCAGAATAATTTAATTTGCAAATCAATAGACTGAATTAGAAAATAGGAATGGGCTGAAGTACACGATAGTAGTACCAATGAGAAATGGAACTTATTCCTGAGTACATTAAATCGTCACTTGGATATTGTTTGTCCCATTATTAAGAAACAAATTAATGGAAGAAAAAAAAAAAAAAAAAATTCTGAATAAAATTTTTTTAGTTTTATAATGAAAAGTATAAAAAACAATGTAGGGTAAAACCGATGAATGAGAAAACTTATTAATTAAATAATAAAGTTAACTACTCAGCAAATAAATCTAAAACAATATGGAATATAATTAACAGTAGGAAAACTATCTCACAAAATCATAAATCTACTACATGAAGGCATGTTTCTTAATAATACTTCTGATATTTGTAGGACCTTTAACTGTCATTTCTTATATTCAAAGCAGGACATTGTAACCAATAATACTATTAATTCCTTATTTTCTGGAACATCAAAATGCTACTGAAGTTATTCGACTGATAAATTCTTTCAAAAATAGTTGCTCAACTGGGAATGATGAAATATCTTCAATAATTCTTAAAAATCTAAGCCTGCTCTTCTTATTATATTAGTTTACTTAATAAATTTGTCTCTAGCTGCATTCACTTTCCCAGAATCCCTAAAACTTAGTATTGTAAGAACACTTGTTAAGAATAATAGTACACAAGATGTTGGAATTACCGACCTATTACTCTAACTTCAGTATTTGGCAAAAACTATGAAAAAGTTCTATTAGCAAGACTTAATTGTTTTTTTGAATCTAATAATATCCTTAATAAAGCACAACATGGCTTCAAGAAGGGCTTCTCCACCACCATTGCTCTTGTAGAGTTCATACATGAAATCCTTGGAAATTTGGAATGTCATTTGATAGTGTATCACATGAGAAACTGTTGGCAAAACTTGATTATTATGGAATAAGGGGTAGAGTCAATGACCTAATTAGAACATACCTCACAGAACGTAAGCAATGTACAGATATCTTCTGAAATCTGAAAATTTATTATCCAAAGTTTAATCAAAATTAGATAAAATTAAATCTGGTGTTCCACAAGGATCGGTGCTTAGACCTTTGCTATTTCTATTATATGTTAATGATATTCCAAGCCCATCTTATTTCTGTTATTTCTTATGCAGATGATACAATGTTAATAAGTAGTGGGCAAAATCTTGGTCATCTAGAAGCTAATCTGACTGAATCATTAAAACCAATTAAGTTATTTGCCCATAAATGAATTGAAATTAAACGTTGATAAACTGTATTAATAAACTGCAAATTTCATTACGGTCACCAGCACCAAAACATAAAAGTGGAAGTAGACAATGAATCAGTGAACCAAACAGGTTGTCATAAGTTCTTAGCAATATTCATTGATCAAAATCTAATATATAATAAACAAGTTGATACCCTTTGTAATAAAATAAACTCTAATATATTCCTCTTGAAGTACTTTTCCAGATACTTGGAAATTAATGCACTTATTCCCAGTATATTATGGGACAATCGTCTCTCAACTTCAATATGACATTGAAATTTGGGGTGGTACAACATAAAATATGGATAGATTAATGGTCCTACAAAAGAAATGTATAAGAAGCATTTTTAAACTGAATCCCTGACAGCCCTGTAAAGATTTATTCATTAAATATGAATTACTCACTGTTGCAGCACTCTACTCTTACTAAGTATTATTACTGTTGTCAAATAATCAAAATCAGTATTTTGTGAGCAATGAAGAGATACATAACCACCATACATTGGGACTATCTTTTAAGTAAAGAACTGAAGTCTGTTTATACACAAACCTCAGTTAATGAATTATACAGCGAGTTTATTAACGTTTTCCAGTCTTATTATAATGTAGTCATGTCTAAAAAAAAAAAAAGTAAAAATTAATAGACAGGAAAAGAAATGGATAACTCCAAATAAGTGAATGTATTATTCAACTAAGAAATATCAGTAAAATTATAAAAGAAGGAAATGTAACGAGGAACTTAAAACTTACTATAACTGTTATAAAAAGAATTACAAAAGAATTAGGCAAGCTACAAAAACACATAATGAAAAGCGCTTATTGTCCTCAAATAATAAAACAAAAGTAATGTGGGATATTGTAAGTGTAGAACTAGGAAAGAATAGAAAAGAACTGCGAAAAATACATATAAACATTGATGGGGTTGATGTAAAAGATACAAAAAAGTGGCAGATTCTTTTAATAACTATTATTCTAATATCACTTCAAATATTTTCACCACAAACACACTGGGTAACACCATCACTAACAGGAATTACAGACGTGCAGAAACTCTTAATATCAGTTCAATGTTTATAACAAATTTCATTTTAATAACCTTCGATAAGAATTGATCAGTAATAGGATGGGATTATAATTAGTCCTAGAAGGGTTCTTAATCAGTTGATAGGGTTGTATAATATGTTGTATAATATGTTTATGATGTTTGATCGAATGATGAAAAAATATTAGATATCATTTTCAGTTTGTTGATTGAATTTTTTTGGTATGTATTACCATAAGGATTTATGTAAATATTTTGAAGGTATATTAGATTTCAAGGGTATGTGGCGTCTCCTTTTAATGATTGTATTGCTTTTTTATTTTGTTGCTACAAACATAATAGTAACTCACCTCCAGCGCTACTCCTACCTCAAGCAAAAAGAGAGTTCAACAAAATGTACATAGTGAATCTACATTTATGTCCAGAAGCAAAATAAGTGTGAATTAGATTCTCACCCTCCAATGGCATGCATTTTCTTTATTTACATTTTCAGAAATTTTTTTCTTCCATCTAAAGTACTTATTAGCAAGCATTTTGCAAGATAATACACATGAAATTTGAGATTTTCGTGGAAAAGAGGTTTTTTTTTGTCCTTTAAAATCCTTTTTTGCATTGCTTTATATATTCGTTGCTCTGCATTGCTCTGGTTGAAATGAAAATAGAATATCACGATGGCATGATACAAAATATTTCTATGGTTGTAATGTATACTTGTGATAAGATATTAATGTTGGGAGTGATAGTTTTTCAACTGCGATTGTTTCACTAGAAAGAAGGGATATGCTATTTATTATTAACATTTTTTCTCCATAAATACAAATACAAATGTTCCTCAGTAATATTAATTTCATTCAGTTTTGTGTTCAAAGGTTTAGAATAGAACACTGAACAGCATTGCCAGGTTCTTGTGAATAACTAGAGCATGGTGACCAAAGATGTCATAAAACCCTCAAAATACAAATAGTTTAAAGGAGCAGGATATTCTACAGAAAATAGGTAATACATGAGGAATGTTCTAATTAAATTTAACCAATTGTTTATTAATGATTAATCTTTAATAATAGGATTTATTAACAAGCAAAGTTAATGCAAAATAATTTCTTGTGGAGTCATCATTTGCGTATTCCAGATTCGGTTGTCTTGGACTTGGATTAATGTAAAGGAAAACCAAATAGGGGAACATACAATATAATTAAACAAAATAGGAAAACAATAAATTGTACAACCATTGTAGCTTCCAAATTTTGTACAACTAAAACATATTTAATTTCAATATAATATATAAATGCAGTGAAGTCAAATTTGCTCATTAAACCAGCAACTGCAAGGTAACCACACAGTTGTGATGTAATATTTGGGAATGCAGATGCTCTCACTAGTTTCAATAAATGAAATGAGACTCTCAAGGGTGTGTCCCCCATGCAAGGGAAATATTAAAGACGCACACACAAGGTACCGCATTCCTGGATTATATGGGATATTCACCCCCACTAAAGGCAAACAATACATGATCGGAAATGTGAAAGAACATGTTCTCTCAAAATAATTCATTCATTTCCACACCACCTATGAGGTAGAATGAATGGTGCATTTCTTTTTATACATGGTTTCCCCTGGAGGCCTAATCCATGTACCAATAAATAACTACACATTAGTACCCAACACAATTCTCACCACCCTTACGCATTTAATGGGCCACATCACACTGTTTTCAGGCACATAACAAGCTGAAGATTAATACATAACAAAATATCCAATCCTTTATACATTAAATGGACCGCATCATTACACTTCCATTTCAAGTGACAACACATTTAAGACTTTTTTCTCATTACAAATGTTTTTTGGCATGTATCCTTACACACTGGGCGCATAAGCTGCACATGGTTTTAACAGAGCATCACATACACAATATCGCAATACCACTGTTCTGTTGGTGAGGCGTATTTCCACCAATTTTTCAGGCAAGCACCAAATACAATCTCCCTAACGCTCGACACATACTACATACACACTGTCTGCAAGAAACATTTTGCACATATTACACATTTGTAATACATTTCACTTGACATGACTAATAAGATGCAACAAATGATAAATTGCTAATTAACAGTAAAAGATTTTGAAAAAATTGTGGATACTGCACGGTAAAATAAAAATATTTGTATATATATGTGAATACTTTTGCATTTGTCATGATAAACACACAAATAGAAAAAAAAGGTTTGTCATGAAAATTATACAATGTACTAAAAAAAAAAAATAAATTATGTGATTCTAAACCATAACGTAAAACTGTTCATTATTCCTGAACCTTCTTCTAACCTTAAAGAATATTAGCAACATTTAAAAACTAAAACTATCTTAATATTTAACTAGGCAGAAGGACAAGAAAGATTAATATTAATGTTTCACAAAGAAAAAATGAATGGTTATTGCAAACAAAATCATAAATGATTTTTTTTTGTTTTTATTAACTTTTATAAATCATTGATATTAGGTAATTTCAACAGACTAATTGCAACAATTTGCCTCTTAAGTCTTGGAGGCAAGCGTTTGTAATTTTCCCCAGTTTTCTGACCATCTGAAGGGATTAAAGGCAGTCCACTACTAGAGTTTTGCCACAGTTGAACAAACGGAATTACAAGCCACAATGGCACTTTTTATTCTCAAGTCCATATCCACTGTGCAAAGATCGACATATCAATTGCCTTTTTTGCACCCTCCCGCAAGTCTGCAGTTGTCTTTTTTCAGGCTGTAGGCGGGAATTGCAGGGTCACTCACCATCTCGTCAACTTTAGTGTCACTTACCATCTCCTCTGGGGCCATGCTTCGTTGTTCCTCATCATTAAATATTTCAATGCCACGACCTGAGATGCAATGTGTATCTAAGGTTATATACAGGCTATTTATATATTCATACAGTAAATTAAAAAAGGTGTCCGATTTGCTTTCAGTTACAGCACACAGGTGTTCACAAGGTAACCTAGTCCTAGAAAAGTTGATGCAGGAGCAAAAAGGGGATTCTAAATAAATTATATAAAATTTAGAAGGCTCAGAACAACTTTTCATTGTGATAAACTTCTCACCAACAATATTAATAACGGCCTCACTGATTTCACTCCTTGCAGATGTCAATCGTGATATGTTTAATGTGTCGTCAATATGTTTAATAAATGGTACTGGTATACCATGTAAAAATTTGGGAAGTTGTTTATTATAATACTTGCTAACTTAATTTTTTTCCACATATTTTCTCATAGCTTCTAGTATGTAGTTCTCAATAACTATCTTCAACATACCCGTGAGTCTCATCAGCATTAAATGCAAGTCAAAAATATTTGAGTACTGTATTTTAGGCCTGTCTACCATTGTTGTTTACATAATTCATATAGTCTTTATGATTAAAACAGTATACCCACCTGTGGGCATGGGGAAGCCATTGGGTATTAAAATACGTAACCGCCTTAGCACACGCATCTGATTTCTCCTCCACCTTCCTAGTACTCATTTTGTATTCTTAGTTTTCCGCATTCGCAACGGCTCGCCACAATGTTAGTAGCTCTTCCTCTCTACCCGATTCAATGTTTCCTGCCAGCCATCTGAGCCAAGCTTGTTCTCAGTGGAAAACACAAAGATCCACAATGGAATCTGGAAATTTTTTCCAGAGCACAGATTTCAGTTTTACTGAAGTCTGTCATGAAAAATTTTGGCTTCCACTCCAAATTCCAATTTTTATTTTATTGAGAGCCTCGCAGATGGGAGATTGTCTACCCTGAACCACGAAAGTTACTGCTACAGCATACCCAACATTTGTCTTGACATACAGAAAAAAAGGAGCAGAGAATACTTTGTTGTATGATATGTAGCATCAAGGAGATATATTTTGCCATACCTTTTTAAGCAAATGCTTCTACCATTCTGTCTGATGGCAGAACAACAAAGTATTTTCCTTACTGTATTGCCTGAAAAAACTGATTAGGTGCAAGTTTTTTTCCATTTTCCCACGGCCTTTCCAAGGGCCTCCTGGTCGAATTTAGTTTTCCTTTCATTATATATAATATTGTATGCACGAGCATATATTACAGATTTGGAAGGATAAAATGCCTTATTTGTTGCCTTTGGAACACTGTCCTCCTCGAACATATTATCTACAAAACGTTTCAAGTGGAATTTTTTCCCTTGTTGAAGCAACTCCACTATTCACAATTTTCTCTATCTCTTTAATAAGAGTTGGATGAATTCTCATTCATTTCACGCAAAATTTGGGAATAAGTGGTCAATACTTGCTGCAATATAAAATCGTATGTGCCCTGTTGGTGTTGAGCTTGAGTGCAGCGCTTCCTTCAGCTTCATCCTTTTTGGAATCATCATAATACTTAGGTCCGAGAGTACACTGATAATAAGTAGCCTTTACAGTCTGGAAGGGAGAACCAAAATATTTGATTTCAGGTGCTTTATCTAGCTTTCTACTTTGAAACCAAATGCTTGCGAAATAAACACACTTTGAAAAGAATGTTCCAGGATAAACTTAAATTGGGGTAAATTAATATTAAAAATAATTACCGTCACCCTGATGACTATGTCGAACAGAATAGCTATATCCACTAGCTTCCAACTCTGTAAGTAGATTCTCAAAATCTTCCAAGTAATCAGTAATAATTCCAGAGCATTGCAAATAGTTCTTCAGTCTCCTCTGCATATCTTCCTTGAGAGAATTAGCCATATTTCTACCGAAGAGCTGTTTGTTACCACGAGCCAAAATCATGAGCATTGATTAAACCTTAAATACTTATTATTAAATCGTGTCTTACCATTCAAGATTAATGCAGATTGCCGAATCTTACGCGCCGTTGGAAACACGCAAAAACATGCAAAAACCAGAAATTCATCAAACGACACACGTACCGGCAACAACGGACGGAAGCGTTCGCTAAACCGCGCTAGACAAAAGTAGAGAAAGTTGGAAAAGTCGCACGGATGAGTCGCAGGTCAAGAGTGACGTCGCTGCTAGTCTTGGCTGGCCAATAGCAAACACCAAGCCGTGACGTCACAGGCTAGACTGATGGCGGGGGAACTGCGTTCTGGGTGCAGTGAGCTTTAGCTTTCCCAATACCGAATGGCACGTCTTCGCATCGCAGCGTCTTGCGGAAAGGGACTTGGCGACGTAGAGAAGGAGGGGGGAGGGGGAGGAACTATAATATTATCAATAAGAGCTTCAATATTGACAGGAATGTATTAGTTTATCCATGAAGTTTAAGTGGGCTGATGACAATGTGAAGAACACTACCTTTATATTTTTAGCAACGCTTAATAATGCTTAGTAAGAGGACTATTGCAACAATGATATAGCTAATAAAAATAGAAGGCACAAAGAAAATACATAGTTTCATTTCTGTATGAATAGGGCAATTAACCAAATTCTCTATAAAGTGAAGTAAAAGGAATATGAACTTATTTAACTGTATCACATTTATATATTTATTTATTTACGTTAGTTAAAAACTGTATGACGTGCTATGGGGATAAGTTAATTTGAAGTTATTTTTCGTATAAATATTTCGTCCGTTTAATACTAAATTGAATCCGTTTGACACTTTTTAATTTGAATGTAATCTGCTATGAAGGTCTTATGAAAAATATATATTTGGAATGTAGTAAGATGTGAAGGGATACTTTTTATTTATTGCTCTGTGAACGTATATTGATGGTAATCGTCTACTGCTAATTGACACGTGCTTTAGGGGAGACACTAACAGACACTGTGGGTCAGAATCGTCTCGGTGTCTCACTAGTAACTTAACATATGTATGTGGAACTTTTTAGAGATAATAATGGTATTTTTTCAAATTTTTAAACTGTCGAGTTTTGGGAGAAATTAAAAAATGAGAGTTTAAGATTTTTTTAATTAATGGATTTAATATATACATCAAATGAAAGAACACCATCTGTTTTTTAATGTCCCGAAATGTTAAATTTGTCACGATTACAAGAAAAATGCAATGTGAGAATTTTTTCGAAACTTTTACTAATATAATCCAGAAAAATAATTTTGGAGAAAATAAAAGAAACAAGTTTTAAATTATTCCTTTCTCTTTACTGGAAAAAAATTTAAAAATCTGTGACCTAACGGTCAAATTTTCTTTAAATTTGTGCGATTTGACGTGGAATGACCCATATATGGTAGAAGAGTGTCAATTATGTATTTAATTCTAGTACATACAAGCGGGCTTCTTAATGCGGTGTTTTGTGGTGTTGTGCGGTGTTGTGCACGTGTTGATATTTGGAATTCTGATGAAATTCTAACAGGTGATGGCAATGAAGTATTTTTCATAGAAATGGGCAGTGACTGTGTGGAACATTAAATACGCGAATGTAGTTTAAATGAAAGTACAGAGTTTAATTTGAAAAATGGGTATAGATGCCTCGTGTGTCGATACAATAATTTTGTTACACCGCTTTGTTAAAATTTTAGGTTGCTGCAACACTTTGAACAGTGACCAGAAGATGCAAGAAATTTCATAGACCTTGGCCTGAACAGATTGGCACAGAATCAGATTATTTTGTTGAAGATGATGGCTATGTGTCCTTCCAGTTTTCTACGAACAGTAAGTTAATAAATGCCATGCAATAAAGACTTATACTTTACTTACTTAACGGAACTTATACTATACTTAACGGAATACTTTGTATTCCGTAAGTATAATGTATGTATAATACTCTGTATTCCGTTGAGTATAGTAAGAGTATAACGTATTAACGGAATACTTTGTATTATTATTATTATTATTATTATTATTATTATTATTATTATTATTATTATTATTATTATTATACTTATTATTTACCTGTGTATTGTTAATGAGTGCGTATTTGTTATGATTATACTTTGTATTTGTACGTTAATGTATTGAAAGGCAATTTCGTCTTTTGTTGGTATATCTTGGTCACACCGTTTTGTCATGTAATTTGAAAATTTATTTCAATTATTTTTTAAAAACTAGAAAAAAAATCTACTGAATTGGTACAAAAAGTTAACCTACATATTTTTAGGGAAATTGACACATTGGAGCTTTGATACACAAAGTATTGTTTTGTTGTTTGTTTGTTTTTTCTTTTTTTTTCCCAAATGTGTCTCCACAATAGTCTAACCCTAAATTCCCAATTCACATAATTAACCTCCAAATGGATTTTGGACGATCGATATGGCCGACCTAGAGTTGTACGAATTTGAAAAGGATAGCGAATTTTTGGGGGTAATTTGAATAAACTCGTAGGGCCTTTAGTTATGTACAAAAGGGCCCCACGTTTTATCTTCTTTTGATTGCTTTACTGGTGCATTCGTGTATACGATTAGTCAGGTTTTCATTGAAACCTACAAAAATTTCGAAAAAAGTTAATTTTCCGACTTACGTGTTGTTAACAATAATTATTGAAGGTACTTTCAACATTTTCTCACAACGATAGGATTTCTAATTAATTTAAAATTCTTTGAAAATAATTCATTACGCATCGTAATGTAAAATTAATTCAAAATATTAAGTTCTCGCGTATTTGGAGTACAATCATGACTTTTCAAAACTATGTAAACAGTTTCTTCAAAACTGCTAAGGGCTTCGATCGCCGCTGAGTGGCGTACTTGCATGACTTGGCTATAAAAATTCAATTCACGCAGTACAATAACATTGCTGTATCTAGTGTACTGGCGGCTGGTTCTATGGGCCTCACCGGCCAGACGCCATCCAAATTTATAAAGTATAGATTTATATTTATAGTACGCCCTGAGTGCCCATAATTAATTATTGGAATTATTTATTCTTAAAGGGCAATGCATTTGCTTAAATTATTTCATCCTAATCAACGGCTTGGAATGCCTAAACCCCAGGAATTATGAACGCATATACTCATATTTAAATAAAATGGCACATTGATGTCACAAGCTAGACGGAGGGGCCGACGCTGTCATCCAATCGGGATATTCATTACGACATAGTTTTCGTACAGGAGCTCCCACCTGAATTTAATATTCTTCCCTTCATCCAACTCCTGAACTTAGTGCTATGTTTAAATCGGATTATAGTTGCATGTAGAACTCGCACGTAACGCTAACACCTCTTCAAGGCGTTGGATCTTCGCGGGTCCCAAAGCGAAATATTAGCACGTTTCGTAGACCGTAGTCTTTGCCGGTAACTCTGGACTATACTTCGATTAAAATAGTAACACCTTTCAAGACCACGATCTTTACAAAAGTGACACCGACAACATCAAAACGACTGCCTCGATTACAAAAATTAGTCTTAACGAATCTTGCATTCAGGCGGCTTCATCCTCCCACTCCGCCTCTTCTCCGTCTCTTTTCACAAATTTAGCAGCTTTTTCTCTGCACTTAGTTTAACGTTTTAATCTCGTCTTTTCTGTGAGGGTCCCAGCGAGCTACTCAGTGTTGCGTTATGGGACGAAACAAATGTCGGTATGCATTTTCTTGTCCGTTAGCTTTCCGTAATACACGCATAACATAATGAACTTTCCGTGCCTGTCGTGTGGTTAATTTTACGTGATCATCTCAGAGGAGATTATTATGCTCAGATAGTTAAAACTAAAATTCAGGCTTTTTTTTGGATACAAACTGAAACTTTGAAACGAAAATTTGAACGTTAATTTGTAACTGCTTATATAGTGCTATTAGGACTCTCCTGAATTCTTATTTTACACATTTTCTATTTTTTTTCACATTCTTAAAGAAGAAATACCATTTGTATTGTGACCGTGGTGTGGCTCGTGACCCGGCTCGGGGTCAAATGTAGCCGCACTCTGTCAGAAGGTCACGGGAACAGCTGGGCTGGTAATCGCTTCGTTTGACATATACATGAAATGATTCATCGTATTCATTTGTAATAATTATTAATGTATTAATTTGTATCTTTGTATAAATAGCTTACTAATATGATAAAACGTGTCTAGTCTATTTTTTGCATCATAAATACCAACCGCTCTCAAAATATTGAAACTTTTTTTCTTTAACAAAGTCTATTCTGAAATGTTGCTTCTTTTATATCTTGTGTAGTTTCTCATATTTTCTCAGTTATACTATTATGGTTCCATAGATGTTTACTATTGTGCTGCCATGGACAATAGTGCTCTAATTATAAACGATTCACGTAGTTTTTTTTCTTTTTCAGGTATCAAATGACACATCTCTTAAGGTGTTACATCTTCTGCGAGGTGCCATTATTTTTGGCTTCAGAAATGTTGAATAGGACTCCTCATGGAGATGTCCTCTTCGAATGGTAGGAGAAGATTTGTTCACTGCAATTACGATTCCTGGATGTAGAGGAAATATTAAATTTGTCCTGGCAGAAACTAGTTCAAGAAAATGTGCTGGCCAGAAGTGTGTGTTATTGGTTGAGAACACTAATGAAATTTAGCAAACAAATAGACAGAATCCGGAACATATCACATTATTGAACTATATTAAAAATATATTGAAACACTGGTATTTACATTTTTGGGCGTGGTTTAAAAATTAAGGAGGTACTCTTGATATAGCTTCTCCTCAATTCAGTTATTAGTTTAACTGTACTGTACTTTCCTGGTTTATAATTGAAACAAAAGTAATGGGATTTAAATATACTTAAATATTGTTCGGTGTTAAGTATTTCGTAGGTGGTTATTAACTTCATTCTGAAATGTTCTAAGCACGATTCATTAGATAACTCCGTGGTTTTAAAAATGTACAGTAAACGGCAAGAAATAAATTATTCATTATAGAATCCTGAAAAATTGCCAGCGATGTTTAATGTACCATTATTTATCCTGGCATTAGTCAGGTATTGGTTAACTTACGGATTCAATTTATTCTAGTTGTGAATGGATTGCTTGGAACTATATAAATGGTAAATTATAAATACGGTGTCAATGTATTTGAGTGCGTGATTATCTTTATCATCCTTTTACCATGTTTCTCAATAAAAATTAAACAAGAATGTTTCATAAGTAGGTATTACAATATAATTAAATTATAATAATTGTATTTTGTGTTAACTATTGAAACACTTTTGCAATTTGAAGGATACTTTCTAATGTCTCCCTATGTTAAGTTTTAGCACTAAATTATTTTAGTTTTTTTACTACCTAATGAAAATAATGTGAATACCATATACGAGGGAACAATTTGCAAATGCCATTCATTAAACCATGTGAATGCAGTAGTATTTTTCTTGGAGTGATGTAATGTCTCCCGGAATTAACTTTTTGGCAGCAAAATAATGTGCATGGCTGGTTCTTGTTAGAAGTAAACGAGGATGTAGATTTAATTAGTAAGAAATGGTATAGATGGTTTGGGGGCAACATTACGGTTTGACAGAATATTTAAAACGAGCCGTTGTCGAGGGTAAAGGGAAAAATGAAGTGCTTTATTTGGTAAATGTCAAAAGTGGATTTTTTGAAGCTCACTGTTGTCAAATTGTCAGTATGGTGGAAACTAAAGAGAGAAAGCTATCTTGTCCAAGCTATCTTGTAAGGGCAGCCGGTCGCAAGACTGGAGGCTCTAGGTGGAGGCGGAGATGTCCACCCGGTACTAAGAGCTTCTCGGCGGTACTCACGTACTTAGCTTCGAGTTTGAGCCTCTCAGAAGGCGTTCGCGCAGACCTTTGGACGGGATTGGGCGAAGGACGTTACGGAATTTTCCGGATCTCCACGTACAAAAGTCCGGGGGGAAGGGTCATGATCACGATCTGCTGTCAAGTTGCCTAGGTTCCGGCGGTACTACCGTCGTTTGCTTAAAGGTTGAGGCATTGAGCAGACGGGTTGGGGGATACGAACGTGGGTGGCACAGGTATAATTTACTTTTGTCAGAAATTAAAGCAGAAAGTAATCATGGTCTTTTAAGATTTTTAACTTCGATGGAACAACCTTTTTCAATTACCCAAGCTAATAAAAAAAAAATTGTCATAAAATAAGATTCAATATTACAAAATTGTATTTAGCAGCACTTTAGAATCTTAAAGGTGCTGTGTTTTCCAGTGGTGACTGGTGCAGAAGTGATTGTTTGCTACAGGTCCAGGTGCTGAATGGATTTTGGAACAGCACGTAGGTTGTAGGATATGGATCAAGAGAGATTTGAGGGTGAGTTTTGGGAGATTGGGGGGTTAGCGGCTACGACAGCATAGGTGGGAGTATGTCACCGGACTAGGGAAAGAGGTTGAAATAGGAAGAGTAGGACAAGGGGCTGGTGTGGAGGGAGCAGGTATTGGCGGAGGTCTAGAGAGTGCAGGAGATGGTGCTAGCAGTGAGGAGCGTCTAGGATGTGTACGGCTGGCTTGCATCCTAGTGCGTGTTTGCCAACTTGTCTCAGGTGGAGACCATTCCGGGTGAATAGTCTCTGAGAGAAAGTCGAAGTTAAATAATGTAATTTGTATGTCTCAGATGCTGTGTGAGTATTTTGTTTGCTTTTGTAATCTCGTTGTTAACAAGTGGTGCTGTTCCAAGGGGGTAGAGTGGTCATAATTAAGTTTGTTTTCAGGGCAGCCTTTTGTATTTTTTACATTTGTTGTCTTGGCTCTAGCTGGCTGCTTTGTTTAATGTCATTCTGCACAACTATTATAACTACTGTGTCCCGGGTTGTAAAGTGCTGTGTCAGTGTTTCAAAGTCGCTAGTCACGTCTGCCAAACTAGCATTAGGATTAAAAATGTCTGTTACCTCTTATTTGGAGTGAAGAATCTCTCTCAATTTGGAGGACATGTTCCTGCCATGGCTGTCGGCTAATATTTACTTTGTATCTGAGAGTGTGTGTAGTCTTTGAAAGTTGTTTGCAGGTCCATTGGTTATAGTCGGTTTTGTAGTCTGTCTGAACACTACAAATTGTTTCTCTGAGTGCGTGCTTGTGGAGAGGTTTTGTGGAGAATCCTGACTCTCACGTTCACACATACACGAACACACACTTGGCCTACATAGTATAGGTGCCTACATTTATATGATGATTTATGATTTACATTCATAAATATACATACACATACAATGATTTATATGATCTACATGCATAAGTATACATATACATACAATTAACCAGTTTTACAATCTTTTTGAAAAAGAAAGACAATGTGGATTTTTGAAGTTAGCTCTTTAAACTTCTAAATTGGTTCCCCACCCACTCTCTCACTTCGTCACTTCACTACACTACACTTTCAACACCACTTTCAACATCACTTTCAACAAGTTCTCACACTTAATTGCAGAATTATTAATAAATCTAATCTAATCTATATCTTTGGTTATGCCATACATCTACTTAAGGTAGCTATCCACTGCATTGCACTACACTTCACTTTATCTATAATACCCTACAATTCACTTGAATTATGGATTCTGAGCTATGCGGTAAAATACATCCTCTACATGTACTTACGTAGTCTTGTAAAAACTCCAATAGAGCAAGGAACAGGCTCTAAGACTGCTGCAAGGATTTCATTCCCATTTTTAACGGCCATTTTTACGGCATTTATCTTCATTTTAAAATAGCCCAGGAATGAATGTTAGATCGTTTTGAAGTGTGAGAATATCTTCATCCGAATCTATTTGGCGATAAATTATGCAGTCGTCCGCAAATACGCGCATTACTGACTTAATAAAATATGGCAGATCGTTGATGAATACCAGATATAACAGCGGTCCTAAGACACTTCCCTGGGGGACTCCGGACGTACGTAAGGTTTCCTCTGAATGTTCATATCCAACTCGAAGTTGTTGAATCCCATTTTTCAGCAATTCCCGTATCAATGCTACTACGCGATGGTCAACTCCCATAGATGCAATTTTCGTAAGTAGTATCGTGCTAATCAAGATCGAATACTTTTGAAAAATCTAACAATTGATTTTGTTGTTTCCCGATTCTAGTTTCGGCAATATCTTGATACGTAATAATTTGGCTTTCACAAGAGGATTTTCGAAATCCATGTTGCCCTTCGTATAACTATCCTCATTTGTTCCATTCCCGATGCAAGAACTCTGTTACCTGATGCTTAATTTGTTTGCAAATCACTGACGTTCGGTTTACTGGTCTGTAATTGGAAATGTAAGAACGACTTCGTTTTAAATATTTCATCCACTATGCACATTTTCCTTTTGTGAGGCACACTACCATTATTTACGCTTATTTAAAATAATAAAGTCAAGAATATAATCATCGGATTGAGAGTAGGCTTCCGCGGCCGGAGTCTGTATTTAATTGGCTGTCCGGATGACGCCGCGTCCTTGGCAAAGGTGCCGACGTTTCGGTCGCAATTTTGCAACCTTCCTCAGGCCATAATGCGCGGAGATGTACTGCGCATTAAAACAGGGCGAATTCCCTCACACCCGCCTGCCGGTTGGCCGGGTAGCCAATGCGAAGAGTGCACCGGCCAATCAGAAGCGGGCTTACCGCGGAGTGAAAAATGCTCCGTCCGTTATCGGACGTTGTGGAGCAGCGTTGTGGAGCGCGTCCGGTCGAAACCGGAAGTCCTGGTAAAATAGTTTCCAGGCATCGTGTAGACGTATGCCTTGGTCAGAATTAAGGTTATGAGGGTGTTTGAGAATTTCCACCGCCTCGTACCCCGCGGTCTTCTCTGGCTAAGAGGATAGTGTCATCAAATAGAATGGCGTGGCCAGTTTTTCATGCGTGCTGGGCTTCAGCAGATTTATTCGAATTGTATTTATAATGAATATGGTCCCGGAGGCGTTGCTCAACGGTACGGTCCGTCTCGCCAATGTAACTATGGCCGCAGCTGCTTGGGATCTCGTATACCTCTGATATAAGGGGAGGGACGCGATCTTTCACGAGCTTTTGCCAGAGTTTTTTCTGAGCTTTGTTGGCATTCTTTATATCGAAGCGGCTCAGACGCTTGCCAATCTTATACGTGACACCTTGTATACACGGTAGTGGCAATTTTTTGGTTGGTAGCATCACTACGTGTGGTGATATCAGCAGTGTTGGAAGAGGTCGTAGCCTGCCGTACCGCTTGGTTGGCAGCGTTAGTGCTGTAACCGTTAGCTCGAAATGGGTCTTCAGGAGCTCCATTTCAGAGTCCAACGATTCCTTATCACACACTAGTTCCTCAGATGGCAAGAGTTTTCAAAACCTTCCCTTTAATTGCCGGGTGATTGGTGAGATCCGGCGTGCAAACTTAGTCTGGACACTTATGTACAGAAGCGATTCACGACAGGCATACATAAAACATAGTATTAAGACACTAGTATATATAATGCATCCCATACAACCACCTTCGTATAACCCTTAGTAGCAATAATAAAAACCGACACCATGATACATACAAACAACCGTCACTAACAATTGACACATTTAAATAACTGCTATAAATCTAACAATAAAACTACCACGATAATGTAGAAAATTTTTATTATTCGTACAACACTGACATTTAGACAAATAGAATTTAAAAATACTGGCACGTATAAAGAACCCTGGTATAACTCTAACAATAAAACTGACACAATGATAATAGACAAATAAGAAATTATTTTTACAGAACTCTCACAATGATACATACAACAATCATAAAAAGCTGATGGTACAGAACAATATTGTCGCCAGGCATTTGGAAGTGCATGATGCTTTAAGCGATATCTTAGGTCTAGCCATGGGTTACTGTAGCGGCGTCATATTCATTTATATCGATGCGGCGTCTTAGTTACAACTAGGGCTCTGGGTTGGTTTGACTCTATTCGGGAGACATCGGGGACGTGAAGAATGGAGGGTTGGCTAGGAGCGGGTGCTGGGGGTATAGTTCTTTCGGAGGTGGTTGTGGAAGGAGTGTTATTTCTGTACTTCAGGAACAGGATTACCCCGACTGTCAAAATTATAGTGGTTGTTGCCGCTGTCAGCTACCCGAATCCCACGTAATGAGTAATATGTATCGTGGACTCTAATGGAGACAGTACTTCTATGTCCTTCTTAACAGCAGACAAGGAAATCGTGGGTACATTGTGCGTATGTAGT